CCCACGCAGAAGGGTCCAAAGAAGCCCCCACCTCACGCCCAGGTTCCCTTTTCCTTGCCCCCCAAGAGGGGTGGATTGGAACCCACCCCCACCCCCACACAGAGGAGTCCTGGCAGAACTTGTGCCCACTTAACTGGGCACTGCCGCAGCCCTGGTGCCTGGCGGGGGCCTGTTCTTACACGCGCCACGGCTGCTGGACTCTCCCCTGCCCTCCTCGCCCGCAGGAAGCAGCGCCAAGGGATGCCCGGTCGCCAGGCTCAGGTGCCCCAGGCAATGCCTCCCTCTAGGCTGTGGAGTCCTGTGAGCAAAAATCCTGCTTTGTGAGCTACACTGGCGTTAAAGTACTTGTGAGCGAGCGATAGGGCTCCTGCATCAATGAGTTTGCTCTGGAGCCCCATCCTTCCTTCCTGAGCGGAGACAAGAATGTGTGAGCCGGAGGCTTAAAAACGGTGAGCTGGCTCACACTGTTTAGAGGGAACACTGCCTGTGAGCAATGCTCCCTCTAAGCTGTGGAGTCTTGTGAGCAAAAATCCTGCTTTGTGAGCTACTGGCCTTAAAGTACTTGTGAGCGAGCGATTCGGCTGCTGCATAAATGAATTTGCCCTGGAGCCATCCTTCCTGAGCTGAGACAAAAAAAATGTGTGAGCCGGAGGCTAAAGAACTGTGACCTAGCTCACACTCACCCAGTTTAGCAGGAACACTCCCCCCCCGCCCCCGCCACTGACCTAAGGATACCAGCTCTTCATCCAGGGAGTGAGTGGAGGAGGAGGAGGAGGAAGAAGGCTTGCTCTTGGCCTTTCCTTGGAAGGACCCGGGAGTGCCGAAGGCAGAGTCCAGCTCGGAGAAGTCGATGAGCGAGGGGGTCCCGGCACTGTCTGGAGGGGGCTGGGGGGCTGCTGGAAGAAAGCCAGATGTCGGGGAGAGAGAGAGGCCAGGGGGCAAGGCCCAGGAGGAAGAGGAAGAAACAGAAGGCAGCCCACCTCTGTGGTCTTGGCAAGAAGCCGTGCCCATCGACACCGGCTCTCTCGCTCGCTGCTCTGCCTTAGCAAAGGGCCTCCTCTCGACCCCAGCTTTGCCCAGAAATAAGTCCAGGGTTTTATTGTGTATAATGCCAAAGGCTGGCCCGTCACAATACAAAAAAAAAAGAGGATATATATAATTCTAATCGTACATAGATAAAACAGCGATTAAAAGAATTTGCACACAGATATGGACCAGCTATTAATGTTATAAACGATAAAATTGGGGAGAAAAATAAACCCGGTTAGTCATGAAAAGGTTAATTTTCTGAGCAGAACAGTGTCAGCTAATAAGAAGACCAGCTTGTCAATATAATTTTTTTTGTCCTATTAGCAGATTATCAAGAAATTGAGACCTAACTGCTGTATACATAGGACCGAATAATATAAAGTGAAGAATGTCCTCTGGGACTGAGGCACTGCATATAGGTAAAGGTGAAGATTTCCCTTGCTCGAAAGCCAGTCGAATCCGACTCTAGGGTTGCGGTGCTCATCTCCGTTTCCAAGCCGAAGAGCCAGTGCTGTCCGGAGACTTCTCCGTGGTCATGTGGCCGGCATGACTAAACGCCGAGGCGCACGGAATGCTGTTAGGAGGGGAAGCAATTATTATTATTTATTTATTATTTATTTGATTTTTCTCCCACCCTCCCGCCGAAGCGGCTCAGGGCGGCTTACAACATTAAAACCAATAAAACAATGCCTCTAAAACAATCTATAACAGTACACTAAAATCATAATTTACACACAGTACAACATGCTGTTAAACCCGGTTAATCATGAAAAGGTTAATTTTCTGAAGCTGCAGTCTTAGCCCTGGTTGTTTTCATGGCCAAGGCGAAGGGAGACACTCTAGAAATGACGAGCGGATCAGTGTCACCTGGGGCATCGACAGCCCCAGCTGCAGGGTTCTGGCAGGTGCCCACCACCTGCTTGTACAGGCCCAGTGCCCGGGTGAGGCGGTCGTTGGCCTGAAGTATCTCAGCTGTGGGCGCAGAAAGGAAAGGAGTGGAGTACAATGACAAAATATCTGGTCCAACCACCTATTCACAACTCCTGCACTGAACATTAGGTTACAGAACTTTAAATTACATGCCAGATGGTATTTAACACCAACACGTTTCACTCATATAATCCCTACATTAAATCCGTACTGTTGGGAGGGCTGTGGACTTCTTGGGACATTCCGGCATTGCTGGTGGGGTTGCCGCACAATAGCATCGTTTTGGGAAATGGTTGTGAGATACTCTGAACAAATAGTAAATATTAAAATCCCTTTTACACCAGAATCTGTTTTACTAAATCATTGGCCAACTCTTAAAACTATCCAGATACAAAATAGACCTTCTCTTAATTTTTCTTATTGCTGCTAAGACTCTAATAGCTCAAAATTGGAAGTCTAAAAAATCCCCGACTTTGAGTCAATGGTTTATGAAACTATGGGATTTAGCTATGTCAGATAAAATGGCAACACAGATGTTAGCCTTTAATACCACTCAGAAATCTTCCAAATGTTTAGAAAAATGGTTTCCTCTCTTTGATTATATTACAAATCCCCCCTGAACAAGAAATGGTCTACTCCAAAAAAATATCTAGACTTTGTATTTTATTGAGTACTTATTAAATGCCTCATTTTGTTGTTAAAACCTGTTGAGTGTGTAGTGACATGAAGTAGTTTAAGAAATGTTTAACTGTTTGTGTATTGAATTTATAAGTCAATTTGAACTGATTGATTATGTTGCATCTGTTGAAGAAAATAAAAAAAATGTAAGATTCAAAGGAGAGGAGCCCTCCGAGAGCTTGGCTCTTCTGAGAAGGAAGGAAGGAAGGAAGGAAGGAAGGAAGGAAGGAAGGAAGGAAGGAAGGAAGGAAGGGAGGGAGGGAGGAGGGAGGGAGGGGGCCGGAGGCAGCCTGAGCTGTCGTGCCCTCTGTCATCCCAGGGCAAGGGGAGTGCTGCGGCTCCTCAGCCCAAAGCACAGGGCACTCGGCACATGCTCAAGGGTCTGCTTGGCCTGTGTGCAGCCCCTGGCACACTCCGTGACCCATCAGTGTGCACCACACACAAACGCCACCCGTGCCTCACTCGCTTGCAAACTGCGGCCGTGACCCCCATGCGAGGTACTGCCAACATCCATGTATTACTTTGCAAGCGCCGCTTCCCTCAATCTGGGGTTGGTGCAAAGTGAACCAGGAATCGGCCACCGCAAGAGCAGCCCTGAATCCAAATGGAGCTGCCCATGCAAAAGGGGGTGGGGGAGGCTGGCCTCAACACCTGCCAGGCGGTTTCTCACACTGAAGCTGGGAGTTCTTCAGCACAAATTTTACACTTCCAGCAGACATCTGGAAAGAAGCTCCAGAATTCACAGCCCGCCAACACGCCGGTTCACAGTTTATAAATGGACACCTTGGAAAGCCAAGATTTTGCCATTATGTAGCCTGGCTTAGTCAAAGACTTCTCCAGGAGAAGCATTTGCAAATCCAGCTGTTCTCCAAATTCAGGAGAGAAAAGAGTTGGGATTTATACCCCGCCTTTCACTACCCAAAGGTGTCTCAGAGCGGCTTACAAACT